TCTCTCTCCCAGTGCCTCAGCTCTAACCACTAGCCCACACTGCCTCCCTTGCTCCCTGTGCCTCTCTCACCAGTTTCTGGGCCTTGCTCTGGGTCCTGCTGTGTCTTGTTGTCAGTGATGTCCTTGTGGGAGACCAGGAACAGCACCACCTCCCCTTTCTCGTTCTTTATGGGCACGATGTCCAGCAGGCACCAGAACTGCGCACCTGAGGGAGGGAGGAGGAGAGAGGAGGTTTAAACCGGGGCTCATTTGTATAAGGAAGACATAGCAAATTTTTTCCTAAAGGTTCCTGTCACTTCCATCTAGCTGCAGTATACACCAGTACTCAGTGTCTAGCTGCACATGTACTGTACTGTATCTATATAGCTGTGCAACTATCTACAGACATGTGCGAACTTGGCTGTGTGCACTCTCTTTGTTCATATGCAGGTTTAAAGCATCATTCCCGGTTCTCATGGAGAGGCGCAGCTTGTCAGAGCTAACGGTCTGCTCTGCCTTGCGATTGCGGAGTTATTCCGATTATTCGGGCACGTGGGGGAAACAGCCCAGTCCGTGTTTGTTAAACAGGTCGTTTGGAAAATGGCAAATTCAAAAAGGAAAACTGGTGCCAAATTAAAAAGAGGCTTATTCTGGAGCACCAGGCGTGCGTTCTTGTCTGTATTAAAAAGCCTGGTAAACTGATCATAGAAAAGACATGCTTAATGAACAACAGCCCCCACACTCCTCCTTAGGAGGCTTATTAAAATAATCACAGGAACTTGCTTCTCCTGCACCTTACAAAACCTGATATTTCAGGAACTGTTTGGTGAAGCTCTTAGAAGGAAACAGCTAATTGCATGAGACAGCAAAGCCGTTTTGATACCTTACTTTGCCCATAATGAAGGGAGAAAGTGGCAAGTGTGTTTTCAGTGAAGATAATGTCATTAGGGAAAGGGATCAGCGAGGCACTCCAGATGAAGAGGCTGTAATGGGCTCGCACACGATCGGTTTCCTGATGGCAGCAGCAGTGAGACTAATTGCAATCCGCAGAGAGAAGCTAATGAAGGTGCACTACAGAGTCCGCCGAGGGGTGGCGCGGAAGGAGGGGCCTTTCACCTGTCACCTGTAGCCGAAACAAAGTGAGAGCAGTTCTCAGGAAATTGCAACTTTGTTTCTGGCACAGGTGCTTAAGAGCTCAGTCTGATTTCAGGTGCAGGTGATGTACTGTAGCACTCAGTTTGATTTCAGTCTGATCCGGGTGCAGGTGATTGGGAACTTTGTCTGATTTCAGGTGCAGGTGATTGAG